CCCCCCCCCACCAGGTGACAGCCCCCCCTCCCCACACAGGGCCCAACTCACGTTGTCGGGGTCAAAGATAAGGGGGTGGGGGCAGCGCTTGGGCCCCGACCAGAACAGAGTCCCCGAGTTCGTTCTCTGCAGGAGAGGAGAGAAATGGGACAATTACAGGTTAACGAACCAACTGATGTTAACAACGCTCCCCGTGGGTGCCCTCCCCTCTCCCAGGGCCCCCCACCTGATCCGGGGGGAAGTTGTGCAGCAGCTGGCGGATGTTGTTGTTGTACTGGCGGTGCCAGTGCCGACAGGCCCAGGCCACGCAGTCGGGCCAGGCCCGGGGCCGGTCGGTCACGAGGCTGCGCTGGACGGCCTCGAGCACCTCCAGCGGCTGCGTCCCCGCCAAGCGCAGCGTCCGCTCCAGGAACTTGGGGTCCCTGGGAAAAGGGGGGACAAGGGGGTTACAGGGGTTTATGGTGGGTACAGGGAATCACAGGGGAGTTATGGGGTGGGTTGTGGGGGTTACAGGAGTCCTGCCCAGGTGTAATGTCCACTCCCCAGGAGAAAGGCGGGTAATAGGGTGCCATGGGGTGTGGGGGACGGGCATGGGGATATATGGGTGCTGCATGTGAGAGATGGGGGACATATGGAGGAGATTCATGGAGGGTTTGGGGGTGTTCCCTCTCCCCCACACTCACATCAGGTACTGGTTGACGTTCTCAGCCGGTTGCTTGAAGAGCCCCTCGAACTCGTCACGTGCCCACTGCAGGAGAGGGCCTGTCACTGGGGGGACCCCGGTGCCTGGGACCCCTCAAACAGGATCCAGATATCTGGGAATCCCTCAGTGGGGCACCCAGACATCTGGGACCCCCAAAACAGGGACCCCAGTACTTGAGACTCCCCAAAATGGGACTCCGGTGCCTGGGACCCCTCAAACGGGATCCAGGTATCTGGGAATCCCCCAATGGAGCACCCAGACATCTGGGATCCCCCCAAAACAGGATCCTGGCACCTGTGGGCCCTTTGTAAGGGTACCAAGTGCCAGGCACACCTGGATACCCCTGGCAGGTGCTCAGCACACCTGGACACACCTGGAGCGTGTGCTCGATGGCGTTGGGGAAGTTCTTGAGGGTGCAGATGGGAATGGCCTTCTCGGGGGGGTCCTGGCTGGAGCTGTACGACTCACTCAGGAACGGGATCACCACCTGCACGTTGCCCTTCGTGCCCAACGTGCCCGACTCCAGCAGCGGCTTCCGGTAGTAAACACAGCGCCGGTCCATGTACAGCCCTGCCGGGACCTGGGGTCAGCTGGGGACACATCTGGGGGCTATGGGACACCCTAGAGCCATAGGGCACCCCTTGGATATGGGGCATCCCAAACGCTGCCACGCCCCAGGGGTGTTCCCAGAAAAAATCATTCCTTATAAGCCCGCAGGGGTCTCTCCACATCCCTGAGAACCCCCAGAGCCCCCAAAGGACGTGCCCTGAACCCCCCCAGCCCCCGGCTCACGGGCGTCCACGTTGTCCAGGGCGTTGGCGACGCCGTCCAGTCCCTCGAAGAAGTCGTCGTCGTAGACGCGCTCGGTGTCGGGCCCCACGCGGTCGGTGCGGCTGCTCACGCGCAGCGCCGGGTTCATCTCCCGCGCCGCCGCCGCCGCCCGCTCCGACTTCAGCTTCTGGAACAGGGAAACACGGGGTCGGTGAGGGCACAGCCCTCCAGGACACACCCTCCCGAGCCACACCTCCCCCTGCCTGTCCCAGGGACACACCCTCCCGAGCCACACCTCCCTGTGCCTCTCCCAGTCCCCGTGACACATCCATGAAACTCCACCCAGCCGCTGACCTACATTGAGCTGACATTGAGCAACTCCCGGTGGCAGCATCTTGGTGGTGGTTCTCCAAGTGTCACCACTGCCTCCACCTGCTCACCCTCCTCCCTGACTCCTCCCTTAGGCCCCTCCAATCAACACCCACCTTCATCCAAGTCAATGCTGACCGACCCTACAGAGGTTCCCACCCCTCCAGGCCTCATCCCCTCACCGTGACGTCCCAGGGCCGAAACAGGAACTGGCGGTTGAGGTTGGACTTCTCGATGGTGTCCATGTCGGTGACGGTGATGCTGCCCTCGGGGCCACAGCCCAGCCCCACCATCGCAAAGTTCTTGAGCAGCTCACAACCAATGGCCCCTGCCCCCACCTGCCAGGGACACGTGGGGACATGTGGGGACAGAGCCCGAGGTGGCCCGGGGGGTTGGGGACAAGTGGGTGACAACAGAATGGCACTGAGGGAACACTTGGGGATGCTCATGGGATACACAGGGACACTTGGGAGACACTTAAAGGGAAAGAGGCGTTCTGGGAACACTGAGCACCTGGGAAAAACCTATGAAAACACCAGGTAACACGTTAAGGATTCCCAAAGACAATCAAAACACCGCCAAGGACGCATGGGGACACCTGGGGACACGACCCAAGATGGCCCAGGAGGGCTGGGGACACGCAGATGGGAGCGGTGGCCCTTGGCAACTATGAGAGAACA